TCCTTATGTTGGCATTTGGGTTCATTAGTGGCTCCTCCAAGTATACTCGTATCAACTATGCATTAGGAATCATGAAATAATCATGCATCCAAACTTGGAATTAAAAAAAAGGATATGTTTGTAAGTTGCGATCTTCATGCTGATTTCTCGCAAGAAACGTCTACAATCGATCAATTTCAATTTTAGACTGAGAAAAACTTACATACCAATCAAGTATCTAATTGTTATCCTCTGGAAGCGAGAATAAGTTAGTAAATAAAATATTTAATAATACAGTCACGTCCTTGATTTCATTGGCGATAATAAACAATGCCTATACCTAACTAAGGATCTTGACCAGAACTTTCGGAATTTGTGCTTTTATGGAATGCTGCGCAGACGATAATTGCCCGGAGTTATTGGAACGTTTTTTTTTTCACAAGTGCAGGGACTGTGGCCTGCCTTGCCATCTGTTTCAGAACCAGCTCCATCTTTAAACGTGACACCGCCAGGGCTAAGGGCTTTTCTCGGCTGACCACTTCCATTTCCGCTCTGAAGATAGAACGCGCCATCGCAGTCTTCTTTCATTCCGAGCCAGCTCAACCGTCAGGACATCGGAAAAGCGAGCCACACACGGATCGGCGCCGTGCGCCGTCGAATGCCGCCGCGCCACTGAACGCCGCAGTGGCGGCGCGCCGCTGGCACCGGCTGATAGGATTAAGCGGTTAGCGGCGTCTCCAAGTGGAACTAAGGGGACTGAGGCGGCGAAAGCGGCGCATTACGCCGCGCTGGCCGCCGCCGTCTGACGCTCGACGATAACGACGCGGCGGCGACGAGCGTCGTCGCGCCGCCGGACGGAGAGTCCCCGGGGACTGACGGAGAGCAGTCGGTGCTGTGGAGCGCTGATGGGGGAGGCTCAACTGTGTTAGCTGCGGGAACATCCGGAAATGGCGAAGGCGGCACAATACGCCTAATCTGTGCGTACTTAGAGAGCAGGCCACTGGCAAATGCAGCGCGCTGGAACACCAGTCGTCACGATAATCCTACAACAGCACAATTAATAAAAGTAATTACATATGAATCCATACAAATATGGGTAATCACCGAGCCCCAGTAGCACGTACATACAAAGATCAAAAGCGATCAGGACTTTTAGTCCCATTCTTTCCATTAGCCCATAGGGCTAATGTTAAAATGCCAAAATCAAAGGGGGTACGGTGCCCCGGTGCCCTCCCCGTTCCGCCGCCTATGTGGGTGGAGCTTTCCCAGGGAAGTTGGTGGGGCAAAAGGTCGCTAAGCCTTCCTACAATGTCCGATTGTTAACCCGCGCACCGACGGGGGGGCGGATATCCGCCCCCCCCCGCGAAATTTGGTATGACTATTCTCTCATCAATTCTGCACATGGTGTGCAAGTTTGAACCTCCTAACTTTCAAGGTCAGGTCACCAGGTCACTTTGAATGACCCAACCTCAAGTCACTTTTTTGCAACTTTGTCACCGTGCCAGAGCTATCAGCTACAGTAGATGTCGGAGGCCTTTGAAAGTCGCAGGATGTTATAAGGTCATTAGTAGCTACAATTTGTGTATCTCGGAATTTTGATATCGGTGACCTAAGGTCAGGTCAATTTCGCGACCTCCCCATTATAAGTCAATGGGGGAAAAATCAACTCCCTGTTTTTACCACTAAAACGGGTCGGAATGGCCCCATATACCATACATGACTTCATATACGATCAGCCTTCACTACCTTGAGGTCTGTTTTGCTGTTGGGCAGCTGTAAGGTCATGTGACGTCATCAAAGGTCACCAGCGGTTTTTTGCCAATAACTCCATACAGGAACAAGATACAGCCGCGCGGATGGTCTCATTGTGTTCAGCTCGTCAAGACGCATCGAATGATATACATGATGACCTCGAGGTCACGTGACCTGAGGTCAACCTTTGACCTTGACCTTTCGAGGTCAACATATATATCATTCGATGCGGATTGACGAGAGGATCACGATGCTACCCTTAGTTTGTTCCTATCTTGACTAATTCGAAAGTTATTCGAGAAAAACTCTCTCCATATCTAGCGCCGCCATTTTGACTTTTTCGACCCCTGTGACGTCATCTTTGACCTGACCTGAAAGTGACCTAGTAAAAATTGTAGACCTTGTCCGTGCGTATCCGATGCCGTTTACCGCTTGTCGCTATCTTGCTTCGTTCTCGAGATCTCAGGGGGGGGGGCGGTCATCCGCCCCCCCCCCCGTCGGTGCGAAGTTGGCGCAGACCCCCGTCGGTGCGCGGGTTAAATTAAATAAATTGCTTAAACGAATCAATTCTTGTCATTACAGAGATAATATCATGCATTACACAGATATTTCAAAGCTCCTCAATGCCAAAAAAAGAATAAGTTACAACTTACAAAGCAACATTATTATGCGAATCAGTTTAAGTTGGTGGGGCAAAACAATTGGGGCAAATTGCAAAATGGCAAGTTGGTGAGGCAGCCGCCCCAACAGGCACCAACTGTACAGGAAGCTCCACCCCTGATATTTTCCTAAGAATATACGAATGCATGTCGTTCATGCCATCCGGCTGGTCCGTGACTCCGTCGCCTTCGTCCCCGTCAGTCCGCCTCTCCCGATGGGACCGGTCGGCGCGGTGGGTGCGCGAGTCGCGCCGGCCGGCGCCGCGGGCGGTCCCGCTATCTCAATCAACACACAGCGGCCGGATTAGGCCGATTTCACACGTCATAAGCGGCGAATGCCGCGCGCCGCCCGCTTACAAGCGATGACAGCTAGGAGTAGGACGCCGATTTATCTGCGGCGCGTCTCGCCGTCGCTGCGCCACCAGCGCCGCGCTGATGAGCGTGACGTGGCGCTGGTGCGCCATCCGCCGCACTGTCGCCATCTGCGCCACATAGAACGACAAGCGTAATCAAATCACAAACAGCAGCCCGTGGCTACTTGATGGTTTGAAAAATTAAACAAGGGTTGATAGGGAAACATGAATAGAAGCTGTTATGCTGTGGTCTAACAAAGCAAAAGCAACACCAGGCAATCAGAAACAGCGAGTCTAACGAGAAAAAAATATAAAAAGTAGGCATACCTAATACCTATGTCGTCATTATTTGAAACTTGCTACTGGGATAGGAACGGGATGAATGAGATTTTCTGAAGTCATTGCAATGAAGAGGTCAGGTAGCGGCACAAAAATGAAATGAATAATCAACACTGTGCCTAATTTATTATTTTCATTAACCACATCATTCAGACACTAAAATCAGCTTTCTGCGAATCAGCGAAGCAGAGCAGCAAGAAAAGAAGTCGATCCCTCATTTTTCATTTACAGTTTACATAATATTGACCTTGTGCCGCACGCCATTTTGTGGCTCCGTAAAACCACCGTGAATCGGTATAATATATCCCACTCGCCAGCTGGCATTACCGCCCTGTTCACTCGCACAATGGCGCTGTTATTGAGTCGAACAGCGGCACCGGTGGTGATACACTGTGTTATTGAGTGTCGGTCACAGTCTCTGCCTCTCCCTCATAGAGACCCGGCCCGTCTCCGGCCCCGGTCGGCCCGAGTCGCGTTACCAGAGTAAATAGCGCTCGTCGCGCGGTGTCGACACCAATCAGAGCTGGCCATTGATGAACTCGGCGCCGCGACCGTCCGGAACGCGGCACTTTTGTGCGCGCGCGCAGTGCGCCAAAGGGTAATGGCGCGGAAGTGGCGTCAAAGGCACCGACCGCAGCGGGCACAGAAACAAACTCCGGTGATGGAGAGGTGAGAGGAGAAGGGAGAGTGAGAGAGAGGAGAGAAAGGGAGAGAGAGAGAGAGAGAGGGGGGGGGAGGGGTGGAGGGAGGAGGGAGAGGGAGGCGAGAGAAAATATTTAGAGGTGAGAGTTTCACAGATCGCGCTGCGTTACCTCAGCAAGGCTTCGTATCGGTCAGATCTAGGGAGCAGGTCTGTGGAGTCGATGGATTTTGGGGTACTCCGACTCCGACTCCGGTCACAACTGTCGACCCGACCGACTCCGACTCCGACTCCGCAGCCCTGCTACGGAGGTCTGATAGGATAGGGTGATGCCGAAACCGCTCCGTTATTGGGACTTGCTGTTAGCACCTGCACGCGCATATGGTCCCACATTTTACATTTCCTTAGCGCTGAATCATGTTGCATGCAATATATCACAGCCTGCTTGCGCATCTCGAATGGACGAAATGTGTGGGCGAACATACGAGAAACGATGCAGTCCAAACGCAGCCATAATGGTTAGACTCACAAAGTTTCATCCTATAACGGGATCGGTCCATCTGGATGTCCGCTAAAAGGACGTCCGTGCGGTGGGAATACAATAAGGTGCCCATGGTCCCAGTTCGGAGGACTCGCGTCACGTTCAGTATGGAGGTCCGCCCAACAGCACCAGCTCAATCTACCGGCCGGCCCCTACCCACCGTCACAGCCCAGCGGGCGGTGTCACACACCGTAACACCCAGCTCGGGCACGTGCCGGCGCAACAGATGGCTCGGCGCGCCACAATAGCCGCGCGCCGCGGCTGTTTTGGCGCGGGCAGTCCGCCCGTCCCGCCGGCGGGAGCGAGATGACGCGGCTGTCACGTGGTGGCACGTCGGACGCGCGCGTGTGAGCACGTGACGCGCCGGACCGGACCGGCACCGGATGGGGTAAATACGGAACTGGGGATCGTTAACAAACGGGCAGTCGGCAGCTGATGAATCCGTCACCCACGCGCACAGGAAATGCACCGCTCGATAAATGATTAAACCAGCGCTATTGGTTAGGAGGGGTGAAATGGTCGATTGATGGATCGGTAATATCTATCGATTGGTGGAGCACGTGATAGCCCGTAACAATCTGAAGTGAAATAGATGATTTCATGTGTGCTTTGGATGGTGACTTTCAATGCTCTCCTAAGTCCCGAATAATTAAAGCAATAACAATGAGTCAGTCCACCTCAAGCTAAACACCATTACAACATTGTGCTACATTATTATACAATATCATCACACAATAGCCAGTCATACAGACAGTATATTATGAACAGGTAACTCAAATAATTAACAATAGAACTAAATGTCAATACTTAGCCGGCAATTCATTTCACATCGCTCAGAACTTCATCGAACGAACCAAGAACAACGGCCATCGATGTTTCCCATAAAGACGAGTATCAACAGCCGGCGCCTATAGGGGAATACACGTTTCGGAAGCACAGAAGAGGCGAGATGTTGGCATTAGCTCCTTGAAATTATAATGGCTAAAGTTTTGTGGCCGGTGAACAAACTATGATCAGTTATTATGTAATTACATAATGACCCAATTGCCCATTCTCAGATCGTGTTAAATATTTCATGCACTTACTTTGAGGCAAAAGCGCTAAACTGCAATTTACTCATTTTCGGGAGTGAACATTTCAGGGAAATACATAAAGCTAACACTCGTCAAAAATGAGCTATTTACACAATACTTCATAATGCATCGTCGAAAATACCAATACAAAAGTACACTCTAAGGAAATGAGCGAGCCTTTCAGGCTTCTACGGTTACGCGTCAGCATATCCAACGAACCATCTGCCCAGCTTCCTCCCTCACCCAGTCACAGTGACCTCAGCCCCCTCTGAGGGCGACCCTGACCTCGTGCCCCCGGTGACGTCCACCTCAGAGGACACCTCTGACCTCTGACCGCTCCCGTCAGCAGAGCCCGACTTGGAGCCGGCGCCGGCAGCGCCACCTTGCAGCGGCTCACTAGCGCCACCTGCAGCCGTCTCCAGCCGGCCGGCCGAGGCCATCAGCGTGTTGGCGATGCTCGCCACCAACTCGCTCTGCGTTTCGTCCAGCGCTAGGTCATCTCCGTCGAGTTCGCCGAGAATGGTCTCCACAGGGTCGGGCGGTGGCTAGAAGGGAAGAACATAGATGAGCAAATGTCACATACCGTACACTGAGGGAATCAGAACAGACATCACGCAGCGTTTGTGATCAAAAGATACGAAAAGCTGACCAGTCCTGTACTCAGGACCATTCCAGTACAAAACATTTACCTATCAGACACTGAGACTATATTACGAGAAAGACAGCTCACCGGAGCTGCTCACTCATTCACTCAGGCTACTCCTCAGATCATTATTACCCCCATCCTCCTCCAAAGTCTGTACGATTCCTGAATCCTGATGACAGCAGTAGCTAACTAACCTGTGGCATCCGCACCGGCCCGTCCTCCGGCAGCGGCGTGTGCAGCTTGCACCTGGTCTCAGGCTGGATGCCAGCCACTGGCGTGGGACAGGGGTCGGCGGTGCTTCCGCCACCGCACGGTCGGAACAGAACCTGGTGCTGGTCCTGCCGGGATAAACAGAAAACACGCGTCAGACCCGTGAGTCTCTCTCATCGCGCGTACACATCGAACACAACCGATGGATTATTGCATTTCATTAATATCATGGAAGCAAGAGCAACGAAGGAAGAATGCGGCACTGAAATAGGCATGCTATGAAAGAAAGACCTGAGAAGAAAAGCAAGGAATGACACCCCGCGCCAGGCGCCATCCTATTGAAACGAAAAGAGGGGGCACCCGGATTTGAACCGGGGACCTCTCGATCTGCAGTCGAATGCTCTACCACTGAGCTATACCCCCACGTCCAACAATGGGATCCACATGCTGAATGATACAAAGAACGACATTCGTTTCTTCTGATCACTGCTTCCCCTAATTCTGTTCCTTTTTTTGTCAGTCTTTAGACTTCAGTGATCTTAAACCTCGATTTAAGCCGAAAACAAATCGGTTAATATGTTCGCATGTCGGTTATTGCCCCAAAGCTTGAACAAATGAACAATGTTTTAGGGAGAGCGCTTGCTAATCTCCTTTTATGACAGGCGACCAGTTGGGCAAACTCAAGGGCAAACTAGACCTTTGGAATCAAAATATGGAGGCATCAAAAGATTGATTCCTTATGACCATATTTGGGCATAAATGCAGACCATTTCTAACTTACCAATCACGTAAAAATAAGAGAGTGTTTCAAGACGGAGCATGCCTGATCTTGAACAGAAATGCTGGAACTATCTCCTAAGCAAAATAATATTGCTCCTATCATAACAATTTGAATTCTATAGGTAGTGAAAGGCAATCAAGGAATTGATTCACTTTAAACAGATAATCATAATATTGATTCCCCATCAGCTGGCTAATCATTATTTTGATTCACAGGTAATGTTAAGAGATAGGCAACAATGACTTGCAGGAATACATCATTTATCTTGCTACTATTCTCATTTAGTGGTATCCTCAGCACCACAACAGATACCTATAGCATTGTTGTAGTTAACCTTCACTACATTTGATAACAATTTACAATTTTTAAATGTCAAGAATACAAAAACTGAAGCAACAGGTAAAAACCATATAATAAATATAAAAGCACTACAACAATGATAATAAGGGGTTTGAAAATTTCATTTTGCCATTTCACACAATTACTGATTGTTTAGTATGCCATTCATGATACAAAAATAACATACAGTGTGATTTCCTCAAAACAGCTTTTACGTGATGGACAGTGGCTCTGTCTTTTTCCCATTCACAAGGCCAAAGGGACAATTTCTTAGTTTTGAGGTAACACTTTTTGGAAAGCTACCACATTTTTCTACCTTTTTAAAGAAAAATCTCACCGTCATGGGCCTTTTTTCAACCGTAACGATACATTTGAAGTCAAAAGTGTACCCAAATGAATCAAAAAATTGATTCCATGCCCATATTTGGTCATGGCTCCTCCCACCAGAATCAAATTATTGATGCCTCCATATTTTGATTCCAAAAGCCTAGTTTGCCCAACTGGACAGCCACTGTTCAGAAAGTAATATTGCTGTTGAGTGGGGTCCTCAGGCCTCAGCTCAAGGGTCACTGTCCCCAGAGGTCGGTAGTCAAAGGGTCACCGCCCCCACACTGGTCATTGGTCAAAGAGCCGATGCCCCCCCCGAAATAGGTTAAAGGGTCACTGCTCTTGTGACCATTGCCCCCTGGGTCCTCAGGTCAAAGAGCCACTGCCTCCGAAAATAGGTTAAAGGGTCACTGCCCCCAAAGGTCATCAGGAAAAAGGGTCACTACCCTCGGAGCCATCAGTACAAAAGGTCGCTGCTCCTTGGTTCGTCAGGCCAAAAAGTCACAGTGGCCCCGGAAATAGGTTAAAGGGTCACTGCCCTCGGGGTCCTTCAGCCCCCAAGGACATCAGGTCAAAGGGTCACTGCTCTGTGGGTCGTGTTGTCTAATCAGGTCACTGTTCCCTGGGGTAGTTAAAGGGTCACTACCTACCCATGAAATTATGATGAAGTAAGGTCAAATGGAAGGTTACGTACGTAAAAAAGGTTACGTACTTGTTCATATAGGAAAACCCCAAAAGACGTACTGTGTCCCTTCTTTAATAAATCTATAAAAAGATCATTAATCGTAGGGATAAGGTCAAAGTGACCCTTTGACCTTGATACTTATAAAATGGCCACTGGTCAGGGGCTGTTATCAAGATTACTTTACTACTCACTCTTATCATTGGAAAGAAAAACCTTTATGTGCTAAAGCAGAACCACGGACGTGTAGATCTTCTTCAAAAAGTTAAAGCCACAAATCTTCTAGAATAACCTGAACACGATCGAACTTATATTTATAGCTGACGACATGCAAGGCGGCATCCCATTCTCCTCGGGCCTGTGGTGACAAATTGACGGTCGCTGGTGACCCGAGTTTGACCTTCCCCGGAGAGCGATGAGCTATTCGTGCCCGCTCAGATTAAATCCCGCCGAGTCGTCCGTCGCCGGCACGAGATTGAATAGCGTCGTCACGGCCCCCAACAAACGAGAGATGGATTTGACCCAACTGCCGCCGCCGTCAAACCGTGATACACGTGATTGACGAGCGGGCGGGAGACGAGGAGCGCAGCATTGGTTATAGGCGCACCACGCAGCAGTGGTTATCTAGATAAAACGATGGTTCAGAGCGGAGAACTATTAGTGGTACTATCACGGGCCATTTGAAATATCTTGTCACTAGGGACCGCCTCGATAATGATGCATCTAAGAGTTGGGTGATTGGAATGGTCCCTGGGGTGCAATAACGTCAACATTCGATCTGCTAAATAGTGCGTTCTACAAAATATGACGTATTTTCAGGTGAGGGTTAAATATGACTTAAATCAATGACAAAATTTCCCTTTTCACAAAGAAAAGACATTAATCGTTCAAATAAAGAGCTTGTCAAGAACAGCACGGCAACGGATAATGAAGCGAAATCCCATCAGTTTCTTTTGAACCCAGAAAACTTTCTTGGCATATAGTCCCACGGCCACACCAAACATACAGGGTCTTTCACAATGAATGTGATTTTTAAAACGCGAAGTTGAAGGTGTTCGTAAATAATAAAAGCATAAATTTGGTATTTACCTTATTGCAAATTTCTTGGAATTTCTGTTGATGTTATTAAAACTGCCACACTTAACCAAACTTCCGTTTTGTGCGGACATGAAATGCCTCCCCCTACAACACGGGTCAGCTCTTTTTTCACGTAGGCGTTTTGGACGTGGTCGTGGGAAACGGCTCACTGAAGCGCACGGCTGTCCACCGTAAGATTCGGGGACGCTTTTAAAAGAAGCACAACGTCCGCTCTAAAATGATCACAGGCTTGTGAACAGATTCCAGAATGTCACGGTTGACTGCAAGGAACAAAACGCACGAAAGGTCATGTTTTGGGCTGTCGTGGTCGACGGGCGTGTCTTCGTCCACTGGTTCGCTTCTGGCTTCAGTGACCGGGCCAGCTTATCTGAGGCTGCTCAGTGCTCAAGAAAGAATTCTGGCCTCATGTGCCTGGCGGAGTTCGAAGACAAAGCCGCTGGTTTCAGCAGGACGGCGCAGAAGTGACACAACGGCGGCTGGGCGCCAGTGGTTGGATGGCAACTTTGACAGACGAGTGATCAGCCGTCTCACTGAGCGGCCATGGCCAGCTTGGAGCCTTGATCTCTCGCCGATGGACTTCTGATTTTGGGCAGTCGTCTTGGAGACCCCAAGCAGAGACCCTTCCAGTGACCCTCATAGAGCTACAGGTCACAGTGGAGAGGTTTGCTGCAATGCTGTGCACGGAGGATGTGAAGCGCGTGGTGCACCATTTGCGTCAGTGGGCGAAATCTGGGTTCGAAAGCGAGGCGACACAGTTAAAAATCGATGAAGGGTACCTAAATGCGAGTCATGTGCACATACTTTCCCATGATTTGTTATTTCATTCGGGTATTAACAATAACTTTGTGATGTATATCACCTGAGCTATGGCTATTTTAAAAATAACATTCATTATGAAAGACCCTGTACAATGCTACTTGAGCCTGGCTAGAAAGCCAAAGAAGTCTGTTTTTGCTGGATCGGCTTCCAACAACGCTTCCAAATACAAATACATCTATACCGGCCCTTCGTTACTGACCTGTATGATGTGTTTGAGGCAGAACTTGCTGAGTGGCACGGTGCGCAGTGTGCAGCGTACCCTGCCCTCGGCGTGGGCACAGCGGGTCAGCGGGCGGGTGCGTGCCGAGCCCGCCTGTCGGACAGACGGTGAGGGCACTCAGACGGACCGTACTCGGACGGACCGTACTCTCGGGCACTCAGACAAACCGTACTCACGGGTACTCTGACAGACTGTACTCGGACGGACCGTACCCACGGGCACTTAGACGGATCGTACAGAGATAGACCGTACTCACGGGCACTCAGACGGACCGTACTCACGGGTACTCAGACGGACCGTACTCACGGGTACTCAGACGGACCGTACTCACGGGTACTCAGACGGGCCGTACTCACGGGTACTCAGACGGACCGTACAAAGACGGACCGTACTCACGGGCACTCAGACGGACCGTAATAAGACAGACCGTACTCACGGGCACTCAGCATAACCGTACAGAGACAGGCCGTACTCACGGGTACTCAGACGGACCGTACCCGGACGGACCGTACTCACGGGCACTCAGAGGACCGGCCCGCGGGTGTACGGGGACGGAGAGAGAGAGGGGGGGTATCGGTTACAGCCAGCTCAGCAGAGCGCGGAGAGTTCGTCAAATTTCTCAGGGTTGATAGTCACCGTGAAACATGACACATATCATCTACAAACTCAAAACATCTACAAATACAGCTAGGGCATTTGCAGTCACATATCATAGCAAACTCCGTCGAAGCACAAAAAACATCCATCTTTATATTAAACGATGCCAACTTTCTTGTCAAATGATGCTAGCTACGAGCAATTCAGCTCGGGTTCCATTTTGCTCACCCCTCAGTTGCTGAGCGCACGACACCCATTACGAGTCATTCGGTACCTATCTATCGGCATCCATAGGTAAACTCTCTGAGTCCCGCTGACGAACAAAACTCCCCCGGTTGACGTCAAACCAATGGCCAATTCGGCGCAGCTGCGGCCATTTCTACGAGCTCTGCGCCATCAGCCCCACAATTATCTGACCAGAAGCGAGCGATGGAACGCCGCTAATGACACGCTCATGGTAATACCGAAGACGCAGAAAAAGACGGTGTCGCCGCCCGTCCAGCGGCACCGGGCCTCAATAGAAGAGTGATGGCCACACGGGCGGGGTATATACGCACGCGATCCACAGGGAATACACCCGAGAGATCAATGTCGAGACAGTGATGGCGCTGGTGCGACCTTTCTCGGAGCTGGTTATTGAATTTATTTCCATCGCCAGAGCAATGCACCACGGTGATTGGATACAGGGTGAGGACACTTGGTAGTCTGTGAAGGTGTGTATTGTGTCTATTGGTATAGAAAACTGGACAGCGCTGGGAGTACCCACCAAAAAGATATTTATTTGCCGTTCAATGAGGTCTTGGATGTTCTGCCGACTGTACAGGATGCTCTATTGACGCAGCGGGTACCCTACAAAGGTGGGCATAAATACAGAACCGTGACAGCCTACCGTAGCTCAAAGTAATAGAGGCGGGCGACCGAACTAGGCATCCAACCCGGATTCGATAGCTGCTATACGCTATAGCAATGCTGAAAGGACCTACCTATTCACCAGGACAGCGAACCTTACACCAATGCATCCATTAAATATGCGGCAGTCGTCTTTTCCCACTGCACTGCGGCGAGGTCGATGCTTGGTTCGAGAACATTCGCTGGCGCCACATCAGCACAAGGCCTGCTGTGTATCAGCTCCGATGCCACTACTAACATTAATCGCGTTGGAATACCAGCATCCATTTATAGCGCCTGCCGCCTACCCTCACGTACCACTATACCAACCCAACCGGACTCCCCTGGTCATCCTTCAGCATACTCCTGCCCCTTCCCTATTCTCCTCTCCCCTCCCACGCCCCTTCCTCAGTCCGTACCTCGGCGGCGCGTTTCTCTAGCCGCTGCTGCCAGAACCAGTAGTCCTTGCCCGCCGTCTTCTGGTGGTGGCCGTAGGCCCGCAGCAGGTCGTAGGCCTCCTGTTCGGCCACCGTCTCCCGCGGCGCGCCGCTGATACTCTCTGCGGAACAGGGAACAGATAGTGTCAGCGACAGATAGAGAACCAGAGAGCATCAGAGGTCCAGAAAGTATAGGCATCAGTCAGATAGACATAGAGCATCATTAGAGGGGACTCAGGGTTATGCCTTAGCGTTACAAGCCAGTGGTATAACTCAGAGGTATAACTCGGCTCCCACTCACTCATGGCCTCCTTCTCCCGGGCCACCTCCAGCAGAAAGGCGCGCCGCTTGTTCTTCATCACGTGCTGCAGCCGCTCGAACTGACCCAGGTACAGGTGCTGCAGACGCCGCAGGCGACGCTCCGCCAAACGAATCACCTGACCAGCGAACATAGAGAAATGGTGGGGATGATCTATAAGTTGTGCAAATTTCACCGGGCTAGGTGCAACGGTCTAGCCTGTAGTCCACGCAAAGCAGCACCAAGTCGGGACCTCGGTAACGGACAGACGCACCCTCCTCAAATAGTAATATAGATAGTGTCGTATTTATCATCTGTAACGCTTTATTACACTGTAGTGTGCCGTGGCAAAAAAATTAATGACGGTTAAAAAGCCGCGTTGTTAGTAAATAGCAATCATGGTCAGCCACTAGTGGTTCGCTCATGGTTGTGATAATGAACACAAGCATAAATAAAAAAGTTGTTCTCAAAACATACCATTAACAACATCTGGGTACCATCCGAATCTACTTTGCTTTTGGAACAACACAAATTTGACACATTGGAGACACAAGCCCAGACAGAAGATAGAGTTCTATCCCGTTCAGTGACCACGTCCCCTTACGCTCACGCAGCAGCACCGCTGCCCCCGCCACCGTTCCCACCCACCTCGTCGTCCGTGTAGACGCCGGCGTGTCGCAGCACGGTGTGTTCGTCGTCACTGAGCCCGCTCAGACACTCATCAGAGCTGAGAGAGGGCTCCAGCGGCCCCTCCACCGTCCGGTCGCCCTCGGCCTCGCCCTCGCCCGACTCCGAGTCCGAGCCGTACTGGAGCGCGCGCTGGGCCGCCTCCCAGCCCTCGCCTGTCGAGAAGGAGAGGAGTCAGTGACACAGACCCCGGTCCTCGCCTGTGGGGTGGGGATGGGGTGGATGGAGCTAGTCCTAAAGACTCCTAGCCCTCGCCTTTGAGAGGGTGGGCAGAGGTCAGTCGTATAGACTCCCAGCCCTCGCCTGTGGGGTGGGAAGGGGTTAGTCTTCAGACTCCCAGCCCTCGCCTGTAGGTAGTAGAGGGTAAGGACCGGAGGTCGGAACCTCGTACTGCGCCCCTGTCAGAACTGGTATGAGAGGTAAACAGGAGAGAAGAGGGGAAGAGAATACAATCATTGCACTATGGCGAAAGAGCGCTTGGCGAGGCCTCAGACCAAACCGAACTAACGCAAAGCATGGTGAGAAATAGTGACACTGCCGACATGGTGAGACTTCGAAAGGTTCAGTGGACAGCCGTGTGTCACAAAAATTACAAGGAGCCCGGCGACGTCTTGTTCCTATTCCGATCGTAAGTAAAACGACGCCGGTTGGAACAATAAAACTGACGGGAGTTGCAAAACTTTCACGCTCCTTCCGCCCCAGTCAACAGGTAAAATACTATTGAAACGTTTTAGCAGATTGAGAAAGCGTATCCTCCTTCCGCCCAAGTTCTTGACAGCTGAAGATATTTACAAAGTTTGACTGATTTCACAGCAGCGACTTGACTACAATACCTACCAATCGTCTCCGTCAACTCGCAACCCGCCGTTCCGATCTATCCAGTAAATTGTTTACGCCGATCTGCCGGCTATGTGTACCGGCTCGGCACCGGATTCGTTCGTCGCGATTACTTTCCAACGACACCGGGCCAACTTTCCGTTTCTATCTCAGTTTTCTGCATCCCGGGAGGCCGGCGCGCGATGGCGAGTCTCCGCACCGTCCCGGTCGGGTCGTACCAGCCGGGCACGGCGCCCGATCAGCACACCCCGGGGGTACACGCGCACGGAGCAGCGGTAGTGTACGGAGAGAGACACAGACACTGGTGTTACACCGGGGATAGGACGTGGGGTCGTGAGGCAGCGGCGACTCGAATAACAGATCAGCAGTGAGCAGTGTCCCCGGTGACAGATTTGTCGTGCAGGTTCCAAGATTTAATTCGATAATGCGGAAACGTGTCAGAATTCACCAAAATCAACGAAACATAGCGTGAATGTGAAACTTTCAAAAATGCCACGCTCGAATCTACAGGCACATACATTTAAATACATGCAGTTGACATGTTATTTCGGGATGTATCGTTGCGCATATAACCACAACCATCGGTACAGACTGCAGAGCCAAGTCAGTTCAAGCTTGCAGAGCCAAGTCAGTTCAAGCTCAAGATCGGAATTAAGCTCATTTAAAGCCTTCAAAGCGTCTAACCTCATCCTTGTTTGCCCCAAGCTTATTGAGGACAGATTTCGTCTATTGGCCATTATGCGCGTCAAGGATGGCTCGTAATGAAGAGATTGTTACCGACCGCGATACACATTAATTGCCAGACCAGAGAGTATGCATGTTACTCAACAACAACAAAAAAAAACGCGGGTCTAGGCAGGAACCGACCTAAAATTTTCAGTACTCTCGACAGCCCATCGTATCACCTAGGCCTGACCAACTGACACCGCCCGGCAGCTGACCTGTTGACGACGGTCCGGCACCGGAGGTGGACCCCGGCGGGCCGGCGGCGGCGGCAGAGGCGATACTCTGCTGAATCTGCTCCACCACTACGGCCACCGACTCCTTGGGTGGCCGGGCGCGCTCAGCTCGCTCCCTGGCCAGCAGGATGCGGCGCCGGTGGTCCTGGCACTGCATGAAGCTGGAACACGGCGGAGAGGGCGTTACGGGGAGCAGCGCTGGCTAGTAGGACATGACGGTTCAGTGTCAGACTAGACATAGATGGGCGGCAGTGGGTGGTAAAAAGTGGCACAAAGCTGGTGCGAGAGCAAAAGTACGTTTCAAATACCGCAAAAGCAAGACTGAGAATCACGCAGCAAAAGAGACATCAGTGTTCAATTATCCCGCAAGATCGAAGTGTGCTGCATACAACAATGCTGCATCCAAACCTACAATGCCTCTGGTCCTTCCAAACGAGCCAGCAGCGACGCCGGCGACCCCTTCTTCGAGCCATGCGAGCTCCCGCCGCACTTTTTGCAGGTGCTGTGAATAGCGATGCCGAGGAGTGGTGGATTCAGGGGCGGGTTAGTGTGGAGCGGGGTAGACGGACAAGGTCTAACACGGCGGGGAACGGCAGGGCAGAGACAGCAGGCCAGGGACAGAAGGGTCAGTAGGGGCGTAACGGAACACGGGGAGGGGAGAGAGCGGGGAAGAGACAGTGCACGGTGCACACGACAGGGTAGATCACAGACTTTTACAGGGTAGGCATAACGACAGGCGAGGTGCAGATCGGTAGACAGGACGTAATGACAGGTACCTATATTATACATTCAAATGATTGTGGCTATGACAGGAAATGTATTGAATTACGCATCGGAGTTAATGATCGCAAACAAAATGGATATTGGAGAGAAATGGCAAACATCTTGTGAGTCATTGGAAACAAACCAAGGAGTTGGTTAGATAGGGTATGATGTACTGGAATTGGACTAACACCACGTTCTGGCATGCGAGGGACATGCCGAGAAGACAACACAGCACTGACCTGTCCTTCTTGGGGACGGGCGTGCCGCACTTCCTTCCATTGCTGTAAACGAACGCACATGGCCGGTAGGGCGCCGACCGATCCTCAAGAATGTGCGCCGAACAGAAGCTGAATCCCTCCAGACACTCCTGGAAACGTGGAGGGGCCGTGGAGATCGGATTCATTAGCTAGATAACAAAAGAGGATGTGTACAGGACATGTGCAATGCAAGAAACAAGAAACAATTCCAATTGCACACATAGGCACTTTTAAAAGTAGTTTGTCGAATGCAGCATTTTGCCACGTAAGTCCATTAGGTACATTGATTGTACGATGACGTTCCAAAACAAATAAAACAGCATTATTATCAAAAGCTTTGTGTAAACATAACATAAAAAAGAAGCAGAGAACATCAAGTAGTAACATCAATTTCGGCCAAGCAAGACTGCACACAATGACTTATTTATCAAAGCTAGAAGCTTCATCATTGGCCCTCATCGATAAACCCACACACAAATCAATACAGAACATCAACCATCCGATCGCCTTCCCACCCGGACAGCCGGTACGATGGCTGGGGGGCGGGGCGGAGTCGATAGTGCGAGCCGACAGACCACCCGGCTCTCGGCCGGCCGCCGATCACCCTTTATGACACCATCCATCGTTCTGCGGCTGACCGCGGCTTGGGGAGGATTCGCCCGAGCGCCAGCCGGTCAGTCCGGGTAAAAACAGTACGTTATAACCTGTAGTTGGCGATCGCCGGCCGCGTCGGCCTCAGGGCTGCGTACCGGGCTTCGTCGTAAGCCCGGATAGCGCTCAGCAGGCAGCACTAGGAGCTATCGTGCGATGCCGAGAAATGACAGCCGAGAGAGTGGGTTAATGATTGGAGTTCGGCGGGCGCAGCAGCAAGCAACGGGCAAACACAGCAGCGACAAGAAAGCTGATCGGCGAATATACCAGCGGATATACCTATCTCTGTCCTCTGCGGGTACGACCCAATGACAGGCCATGGTAGCGCCTGCGAACGATGGTCCCTCACCTGGCAAAAGTGGTGCGGTGGTCACTCACCTTCTGGCAGAAGTGGTGCGGGTGTCGGCAGACAGTTCCCACCGACACACGGGTCGGGTGGCTCTCCACCCGCCGGCCTCCGCGCATTTGCCGGATCCGCGGCATCTGGCAACGGGGGACGGGAAGAATATGACGTCTAGATATTAAATACCTAGGGGCAATATTTATTATGTATACAGCCCATTTGTTTGCTAATTGAAGCTTTTGGCCACACCAACTAGACCATTTTAAGCCCTTCCTGTGTAGGCATGTAACTACTCCTTACTTGAAATCGGGAAATAACAGGCACTTATCCTCAGATACTGTAACTGGGCCAATTCCCAAAATTTTGCTTTTGAGTTGAAATCTTCTCTGCCTTATCTCTCGATTCTGCTATCCATAGATAGGTAGCTTACAAGAACTGGGTGCTTCAGATTATCTGTGTCCTCTCTCATCTCTGATATTCTAATCTCAAAATGGCACTTATAAGCTCAGACATTAAAAAAAAAACTTTTTATAATGGTGATTTTCAGTAAGGTGCTAGATGCAGGTGCTATGTAAATGTTAGGTAGGTGTAAAGTTGGGCCAGGTAGGGCTAGGCTAGTTAGTTTGATTATGTGAACCCAGTGTGGCTCAGCATTTCCATCAAATATCGCCATACTCCTGACTCTGCAAAGTAAGAGATGCACCACAAGGCCAAAAGCACAAACAGACTTCTGTGATAACTGATAAGAGGATCGCCATGTGATAAAATGTTGACAAGAACCATCAATTTTGTAGGAATGCACATTGCAAAACACATGCCAAATAGGTAACAGGAGCAGTCACCTATGTTTCAGACATTACCAGCAACAGTGCCACAACAAAATAGCTGGCATTTCAATTGGTCTAAGGGGAAAGCATGTGATGAGGCAGGCCCCAGGTAGTGGCAGGTTCTCTCGCATCATGGTGGCTGCTCCCAGCCCCTGGGTCCTACATAGGTAATTCTGCATTGCAGTACTAGCAATTGCTAACCAATGTCCTTGCTTTACAGAATTGAAAAATCACACACATGACTCAGTCATGCAATGACAAAAAAGCATCACAAGAAAAAAAGTGGGGTAGTAACATACAATTTACTGAGCCACAATCCCAAGATGATAAAGTTTCAGGCATGCTGATACATCTTATCAGTTATCACTGATAATAATGGTTTAGGAATCTTGATCTGAGATACTGGTAGGTACCAAGTATTTTGCCAGCATATGTAAAAGTGCATCAGCAATGGCTAAATGCTAATCAATACTGGCAGATGAAAAAGACAGTTATCCTTCAGATCAGTTTCAGAAAGCCTCCAGATAATCAGATTCCTCCAAACCCCACTATAATTCCTCTGCACAGTCTTCTAGTTTGGAACCTTAAAACAGTGTAATAATATGCCTGTTAAAAAAAAAATACAGCAGACTGCAAATGTAGCTTCAAATGCATAACAATTACATTTTAACACAAATTATTTTGCAGCAGCGGTAACCTGCAGTGGGAGCGCTCGATCACTAAGTCGACCATGGCACAATATTACACAAAGTAGGTACCTAAGAGACAAACAAATGTTCACCATGATGTTCTGCTAGCGAAGATAAAGGGCAGTGATTTATTTTTTACAGATGTGTGATGCTGAGTAGGAAAATACCTATTGAGTTTTGAACGTATTGTATTTTGCCATGAAACTGAATTTCCTCATACAGCAGCAAATCCTCCAAATTTTCCTCTGAACCAAACAGCCTCCAGAAGCAAAATTTGTCTGCAAGATTTAAGTTTAACTTAAATATAGTGAGCTATGGCCTGTGAGAGACAGGACAGGGTCTATTTGATGCTCACATAGAGCATTAAACTGAACCAAACTGGGTAATTTAGGTACTGTGGATACTGTGTTAAAGAGAGCGGAAAGTGAAGCGCCCGCACCGTAGAGGTTGAAATCCTCCAGCTTATGAAAATTCTAAAAATCTGGCAGCACTGATGCTTATCAGCTCAACAACAACCTAACTGGTTGCAATTATTTCAATTTCTTCAGCCAAAATAGCTTACATTTCCAAACACAAAATTCAAAAAAGGTGATTTCATTTAGGCACTAACACTACGATCCAGATCATGATCATTGATCAGTCCAGCAGTCATCAGACTTCGGAGAAAATCATTGAAAATGGTCAAAGGCCATGTTCTTACATTCCAATAAATGGTAACCCAAGTGAACTGCAATGTAATCAGTGCAAATGATGATGCAATCCAATCAGTAGGAGAAAATGAGAAACAAGCGTAACCGGACAAATCTTCGTATGGCATTTCTTCGTCGCGCAATATTTCGTCCGCATTTCTTCGTCCGCAAATCTTCGTCGGCGCATTTATTCGTGTCGCATTACTTCGTCTCGCATTTCTTCGTAGGTGCAAAAATTCGTAGCGCATTTCTTCGTATCCGCATTTCTTCGTCGGCGCATTTCTTCGTCAAGCATTTTTTCGTCCACGCATTTCTTCGTCTACGCAAATCTTCGTCCGCATTTCTTCGTCCACGCAAATCTTCGTCTGCGCAAATCTTCGTCCGCAAATCTTCGTCTCCGCAAATCCTCGTCCGCAAATCTTCGTCCGCATTTTTTCGTCCACGCATTTCTTCGTCTACGCAAATCTTCGTCCGCATTTCTTCGTCCACGCAAATCTTCGTCCCCGCAAATCTTCGTCCGCAAATCTTCGTCCGCAAATCTTCGTCCGCAAATCTTCGTCCGCATTTTTCGTCCACGCATTTCTTCGTCCAATCAAATCTTCGTCCGCAAATCTTCGTCCGCAAATCTTTGTCTGCGCTATCTTCGTCTCTGCAAACACTCGTCCACAAATGTGGTTCAATAAAACCATGAAGAAATATCAGACAGTCAAGTGCAGGGGCGTAGGCAGGGGGGGGGCCACTGGGCCATGGCCCCCCCCTTGGGCGCCGAAGGCGCCCTTTGCGATTGGAGGGCGCCGAAGGCGCCCTCCAATCGCAAATGCAATTGTGATATAATCGAATCGAAAAACAATCGCGACTGGAGGGCGCCCTCCAATCGCGAATGTGTTTACAGGGAAAATACGGATGGAGGGCGCCCTCGGAGGACGCCCATTCCAAATACGCCCTCCAAATACGGTTGGAGGGCTCCCTCGGGCGCCCTCCAACCACATTTGTAGGCTGTAGCTCTCTAAGCGTAACGGTGGTCGCCTATGTAATCCGCTGTCCTGTAAATAAGCGCCCTCTCACCCGAAGGCGCCCTCCTGTAGGTCGCCACCCTGCTACACATTGCCGCCCTTCTGCTGATCGGCGTCCTCATAATTATTGGCGCTCTCCTACCTATTGAGCCCTCATGTGAAATTTTGAAGGCCGCCTTTCTCCCTTTTGGCACCCTCTTGTTCAGTGCCGCCCTCCTACCTATTGGTTCCCTAGTCCTTCCTGTTGAATGTTAATCGGGGCCCTTCTCCCATTGGCGCCCTCGTGTAGATCGCCGCCCTCCTAACCACTGGCACCCTCCTGTTGATCACCGCCCTCCTATCCACTGGCACCTTCCTGTTGACCAGCGCCCTCCGCACAGACGCCCTCCTGTTCGTGTCATCCTCTTGAGCAAAGGCGCCCTCCTCACCATTGCCACCCCCATTTTAATCGTCACCCTTCCGCTCATTGGCGACTTCCAGTTGATGACCGCCCTCCCACCTATTGGCGACCTCTTGTTGATCGCCACCCTCCTATTGGTGCTCTCCTGTTCCTCGCCACCCTCTTACCTGGTGGCGCCCTCCTGTTGATTGTTGATCGGCGCCCTCCTACCTATTGGTGCCCTCCTGTTGATCGCTGCCCTTCTATCCATTGGCGCCCTCCTGCTGCTCGCCAACTTCCTACCTATCGGTGCCCTACTGTCGAAACTCGGGATGTTGATCGGGGCTCTTCTACCTATTAGTGCCCTCCTGTGGATCGCAGCCCTTCTACCTATTGGCAACATCCGTTGATCGCTGCCCTCCTATCATTTATTTACTCCTTTGGCATGTTTTTCAACTTAGTCGTTCTATTGCACATAGTTGATGTCTTGCCTGTGAAAACTGCCACAAATGAACGTGCATTCAGCACAATGAATGAAGTATCTATACCTACCAAAACTATCTACGCTCTACGATGCATAAAACACGTCTTTGGTCTTAACGGATTGATCCTACTTTACGTGCATCATGGCATCTATATGGATTACGATTAAGTATTGTCAACAGGTTCGGGCGCAACAGCAGGCATCTTAAGTTTCGGTGATTGAAACTGGTTATGTGGGTACACTGTATGCATCTGTGAGAAGGCTATGAAGGCTGGTCTGAGGTAATTTGGATGATGTTTACGCATCTCGCGCTCCGGTATCAATCCGATACAGTGATCTGGTGCGTAGATATGCCACCGCCAATAAACTTTTATACATCGACACCCATGAGCCAAGCTTTCTGTACAGTTTGTGTGGCAGCGGCCCGACCAAACCTTAGGTATTTTTTACACCTTCAAATTTGGTAAAAGAGCGAGAGGAGCTTTGAACAGTGATCGTATAAAAGGCGTGCCTAAAAAGCGGAGGAAAAGGTTGTTTTCAAAAATTTCGCGCGCCTTCGGCGCAGCATTTCAAGAACACTTGACCTTTTGTGACCTGGAGTATAAAGAATACACACGATGCAAAATCAATGCAGCACGACCTATACGAGGTTACGCAAAAAAAAAACTGGTGGCATGGTAAAAAACGCCTCCCAACCCCCCAACCCCCACTGAGCGATTTTTTATCTCGCGACCGTATGGCGCCCTCCTTGGGTGAGGTGGCGCCCTCCAAACCCTTGGCCCCCCCCTTCGCGATTTTCTAAATACGCCGCTGGTCAAGTGAATGACGAATTTGATGCATGGAATGGATGGTCGAAACTTTTGAAGTCAGGTAGATGAGGTCAGTCAGGTGAAGCTATTGTATTTGGAGCCGACAATTGTAACATTCCATATCATTTGTGTCCCGGACATTCTTTTTTTCGCGGTCGTTGAATGACAATATAATCTCTTGTACCCTCGCCGGCATAGGCGGCGGAACGGGGAGGGCACCGGGGCACCGTTCCCCTCTTTAATTTTGGCCTTTTAACAGTAGCCCTATGGGCGTTGCATGGAAAGCATATTGGACCAAAAGTCGGCAGTGCCGTGCCCCCCTCAATTGAAGATGTTCCGCCGCTACTGCCCGCCGGACCTATTTGTTTTCTACGGTACACGCCGGCCGAGGGGACGGGTACGACCCCCCCCCCCCCCCATCGCCGTTTCGCCACTGGTGGAGCTAGCGCGTCGCGGAAAAAACGAGCGTGTGCGCCGTTACGAGCCGCAGAGATTAATACCCGACCTAGGTCAGGGGTCGGCATACGGCCCGCGGGCCGGATCCGGCCAGGTGGGTGACGGTTGGATCCGGCCCGCGACCATCTGACGTCCGGCCCGCGGCTGGTATCAGCGACTTACATCGTGTTCCGGCCCGCCCCCCCCCCTCCCACACACACACCGCCTGGAAGGTTAAGCGAGTAGACCACGTGAACTAGCCGCCAAGTGCACGCAGCTGCAGCAGTCGTTGATGCTGCGCGCAAAAGCTGCTGACCAAATCTTACCGTTGCAAGTTTTGTCTAGAAGTAGAATTAGACAAAAACACCCGCAAATGGTGTTTATAAACTCATGAAGTGTGCGAAGGAAGAACTGTTGTGCCAAAGCACATTTGAGTAACTTTTATATCGGAGTCGATTTATGAAGGAACCGCGGGCCGGAACACGATGTAAGTCGCTGATACCAGCCGCGGGCCGGACGTCAGCTGGTCGCGGGCCGGATCCAACCGTCACCCACCTGGCCGGATCCGGCCCACGGGCCGTATGCCGACCCTAGAAGGCCTTAAAATCGGGTATTAATCTTTGCGGCTCGTAACGGCGCACACGCTTGTTTTTTCCGCGACGCGCTAGCTCCACCAGTGGCGAAACGGCGATGGGGGGGGGGGTCGTACCCGCCCCCTCGGCCGGCGTGTACCGTAGAAAACAAATAGGTCCGGCGGGCAGTAGTGGCGGAACATCTTCAATTAAGGGGGACACGGCACTGCCGACTTTTGGTCCAATATGCTTTCCATGCAACGCCCATAGGGCTACTGTTAAAAGGCCAAAATTAAAGGGACCCTCCCACTTTCAAAAAAGTTAATGAATTGGCATGAAAGTGATGTCGCTCGGTTCAGAAAGAGCAAAAACGAATATCTATCAATTCAAATTTCATCGAAAAATATTCTCCGGTTTTCAAGATATTAGACTTTTACTTTTGCCACTTTTTGGGATCTCCGCTGTTCCTAGCGACTTTATTTGAAAGTACGGCATTTGTTGCGCGCAAAGCAGCAAATACCACCGCGTGCTACAAAACGTTTTAGTCAAACATTTAAAAATCGTTAGATATCTGCGCTGACGTCACACATTCATAGGGGTATTCCTATGCTGAGCCCCTCTGAATCAGAATGCTGCAATTTTGAAATTCAATATTTCCGATTTAAGACATTTCTCGATGTTGTGAGTGCCGAAACCGGTAATTGTGAGCCAGGGACAGTGGCGGCGCCACCATAGGGGCAGGGGTGGCAGCCTGCCACCCCTGCCGCGAGGTAGGGGTGGCATTGCCACCCCTGAAATAGGTATGGGACAAATTTGAAACGTCACCGACGAAGAAGACTCGCATACCTACTGCATAGTCTTAACTATTCGAGGCCCCTTTGACCTTTAAGTCTACACTACATACAGGAGGCCCTTTTACACGTGGGAAGTTATCTAAGAGGCCTTTGCGTCACACAGGAGCCCTGTGCCCGCATAGGAGGCCCCTGTATCCGCGCCCTCACAGAAGGCCCCTGGGCCCTGGGCCCGCACAGGAGGCCCCTCTGCCCAAATAGAAGGCCCTTTGCCCACAGGAGACCACTGTGCCCGCATAGGAGGCCCCTGTGCCCGTACAGGAGGCCCCTGGGCCCTGGGCCCGCACAGGAGGCCCCTCTGCCCAAATAGAAGGCCCTTTGCCCACAGGAGACCACTGTGCCCGCATAGGAGGCCCCTGTGCCCATACAGGAGGCCCCTGTGCCCGCTCAGGAGGCCTCTGTGTCTGCTCAGGAGGTCCCTGTACCCGCACAGGAGGCCCCTCTGCCCAAATAGGAGGCCCCTTTGTCCACAGGAGACCCCTATCCCTATGCCCGCACAGGAGGCCCTTTTGCCCACAGGAGACCCCTGTGCCCGCACAGGAGGCCCCTGTGCCCGCACAGGAGGCCC